AGTTATTGACTGTATGATCAGTATGACAGATGAACAGATCGCCACTGGGCTTTCAACTAAAGACACAGCCACGCAAAAACTGCGGCATGTGTACGGCTCCTTATGGGTACTGCAATTGTTGGTGCTCTCCGTCAGAACTGTTCTATGAGGTGTGATTTGTGCCAATGAACGAACTCACTGAGCTCACTAATGTGTCGATCGTCGCCTACCATGCCGTGAACTATGCCGCGAGAGAAGTAACGTGACACTCTCGTCGCCACCCCTCTCGTCTGAGAAGCTACGTGACGTCTGCGTCTGAAGTTACTTTACTTTGGTAGTTATCACCTAATAACCCAGTAATGTTACAGCTACGCAGTTGCTGTTCAAGCGAGACTCTATTTCAATATAGTTTTGGTATTAAAATAATGTTACACCCCTTGTTTGCCCTGAACGCAAAAACAACCACAGACAAGAATATATATGTTTAATTAGCCTATCAAAATTATAACAAAGGCTGAAAAAACAGGAGAAGCCTGTCTTCCCTTGGTCTCCAGGAGAAAACGCCACTGTATATCACCAAGTTTTCATAGTTTTGTGTGTAAAATAGATCGCTGCAGTGAACACGACTTTATGTATTTGTTTATGGTTTATTTGATATGGAGGGATGCAGTATATAGAAGTTCAGTGAAGAAGCAACCCCTATTGTTTATTTCGTTTCATTTTGGCACCATGGTAGAGGCAAATATAGAGTTAATGTGCGGAGATTGTAATGTCCCGTTTACTAAAATATGTATTGTTTTATGATGTTTAGTTGACAAAATAGTCACTGTGCTACATTTTGCTGCACTCAAGCATACATCTGAAGACAAGAGTTGTGTCCGCCTTTGGCCACAAGGGGGAGTATTGTATATTTGTATAGATGTTGCAACTACAGAGCTTTGGCAATACTATATGTAACTGAGGTCATGCTAATAAAGCTATTGAATTGAGTATACCTTTTAAGTGAGCGCTTCTGTCAGGAGGAAACAAAGGTTCACCAACACATTACTCTACTGCTGAGAAAGGCTGTGCAAAGACGTGAAACGATGTGCTGCAATGTCTGTGTATTTTTGAAGAAAGTAACTCGCACTGAGTCTTAATACATTACTTTATTTAATTATGTTCCCCCTTCATTTGAGAAACACTATCCACTGATGTATTATGTTTGTGTTACACACACACCATTACTGAATTAATTCTAAAAACAAGAATAACCTACATACAACAATAGGGAGCCGGATGTATCGTCAATATCTACAACGTTGCTGCCCTACTCAGTTGCAATTTCCCTTGTGCTGGACCCTGAATCTTGAATTGTCTTGTCAACCTCCTCAGCATCTGCTGGTATTGAATAAGAACCAGCATTGTGATTAAACTCTGATCAATAACTATAATAACTTATTGAGAGAACATGAACATAGCTTGCGTATACTGTTGTCATTACATTTCCTTTGGTTTTGTTCAGTGTCAGTCATAGCCTATTGAAACAGTTTCCTCTGTACCTGCCAGTTCTGTCCACTGAGCTCTGCCTGCATCTCTCCCTCAGGGTCATCACCATCAGCATCATCTGATAGTGGAACTGAATAAGGAGAACATGTAATCATTACATTAACAACTATTTATGAAATAACATTATTCAAGAATATATATTATGCAACACTTATTTTATCACTAAGTTGACCCTGTATTTGCATGGCCTAATACCATAATGATTGTCTCCCCTTTAGACAACATAACCATCTCAAGTTATTAACTCACAGTATGAGGGGTTTGTAGCCCCACAGTTAGCTGCAGTCTAACGGTTATATTACATATATTTGCCTTGAGTAACATTAAGGATATGTTTGGGTTTTGTGTTGCCTTATAGTCTCTAGTCACACAGGGCCTGCCACTAACTTAGCATTGGACTGAGAAACTGTTTTGTTGACAGTCAATGTGCACATCAGGCTACAATATAGAAAGAAAAGTGGCTCATAATAGTGGCACTGATACTAGAAAAGTGGATCACATCAGTCCGGTTCTGAGATCATTACACTGGCTTCCAGTCTGCCAAATAATTGATTTTAAAATACTACTGCTAGTTTTTAAATCACTAAATGGCTTAGGACCGAGGTATATAGACGACCCCCTCCATCAGGGTGTTTTACCCGAGTGGGCACAGTAATGTGCTCCTAAGGTATTTGATTGCTCTAGGACAGCTATTTGGGAACAGGTGAGGTTATTTTTTCTTTGGGGCAATTACCTTCGTGAATGGACCTTACACTTAACCAGTAGAATATGGACACACATATTTCAAGTTTTGTAATAGTCCCCCCCCCCCTACAGATTAGGCATTTATATTCAGTTATCTACATTGAAAGGGTTGTTGATATAAAACTGAATTTGTCTGCGGCTCATGTTTTTTTTCTTCTTACTTTCTGGTGATAGTTGGACTGTAACTTTTCTCTATAGTTGTATATGACTAGTTAAACTAGGGCTATACACAATTGCTCTTCTTGAAAAGGTTTAGCAAATAGCCAATGACTTTAGCTTAATTTCACTGCACTATAACCAAAAGGCTTATCATATCATATCAAACAACACGTTAGATAGATATGACAACCCACATTATATCCTTATTGGGGAAAAAGAACCAAGAGGAGACGTCAGTAAAAACTATTTAAGAAAAGCTTGTGTGAGAAAGTGTCCCTATAATCAACATTGACAATGCAACTTTGGGTATTTCATTCAAAAAATGATTCAAGTCCTATGCAGTGTAGACTGTTAAACAGAAAGATACAAAATATAACACATTTGCATTCCTTTTGTTACAATAGTGTGTTTCTGATTAGTTTAGGTGAGAAGACAGGAGCCTAGATGTGACACAGCTTAAACCAGCAAATTCATTTACACCCCAGTTTTCCTTTTGTGAGCTTTTGATATCAAGTTTTGACTGACACCTTAATAAATGTCTTCAGCAAATGAATAAGTCAACCAACCCGTGATATCTGATCAATTCCTGCTAGTTATAATAGATCAGGGAAACTCACAAGGCAGCCTGTAGAACAAATACGTTTATTTCTTTCACCTTGAGTGTTTCTCACGGGCAGTCTCTTCTCTGGTCCCTGTCCTCAGTCACATACGAGGGAGGGAAGGGTCATAGGTGGTGTTCTGCCTCAGAGCGCTCACTTAAACTTCATTATGCAAATGTTCTCCATTTTCTGATTCTAATTCCTCACCCTCGATCTCCCAGCTGAATCCAGAGACCAATCATTAAAGGTTTTTCAGAAGAGCAGCTATGTGAGAGAAATCTGCATGTCCATAAATCTTTTGAAACTCTTGGGTGGTATTCATCCCAACATGCACACACCTTTCAATCAGTATAGAGTAGAAACTCACATCACATGTTTTGCAAATCAGTTTGTTCACCACTTGCTCAAGCCAAGGAATCAACACATTCCCATTGATATATTGAACAAAGGAATGAACCATTGCATTTAATCTTATGTAGATGACATCTTATTATTATTTTTTGACATTAGAGAAATCAATCTCATGTTCCGAAACAGTTTAACAAGTTTAGTTCCTAGTTGAGTGTGCAATAGTTTCCTCTGAAAGTTAGTGCTGTATAAGTAGTTGTGGTTAAGTACAGTTCTTGAATAGAAGTTCAAAGTCAAAGTCAGCTTTATTGTCAAGAATTCTACATGTTGTACATCCAGAAATCTCGAAATATCGTTTCTCGAGGTCCTACAGTGTGACATATACATCAAACAACGACAAAAAAAACAAAAAGGGCCTAGATAACCGGGGTATACAGTTTAAAATGTTAATAATATGTTAAAGTTAGACGTTACTTTCCACCACTTCACGGGGGGAAAAATAAGGAAAGAACCATTTCTTTCTTTCGAGCCCACTGGTTTGAGTTAAATATGGAAAAACAGAAACAAGTGTATCTCAGGGGTGCTGCCACACCTGTCCATAATAGAAAACTTAAAGCTTTCTGCAGTATACCAACTATCAGAGCACAGCGTTCATCTGGTCAAATTAATTATATCAAGAGAAGACTGAATCCCCTCAATTGTCCTAATCTCTGCTAATGGAGAGAGCATGTTTCCTCTTCTCAACCTTTCTGCTTGTCCGTATATGATGTGATTGTTGTACAAATGGTAGAAAATCTGTGTAATCTTCAGTTTCTTAAGAAAAACAAGTAATTTGGTGCGGACAAAGTAAAACGGGAGATAACTATACAGCTGTTGGAAGACATAGAGATCAAAAATACACTTCAGTTTCAAGTTCAACAACATAGGGAAAAATAAAAGCACTTGAATCGTCTTCTATCTAATGGACCCACGAGGGTGGGTCAATGGAAAAGATTGTTTTGTAGATAAAGAGAGGAAAATAACAACAGAGGTTTTGCGGTGAGGACTGCAGGGTGGTTTGAGTGTAAAGCCCTAAGCTGAAGATGGGCTCAAACCTGAAACCTTTGAAAAAATTGTATAATCAGATGCCTCAGAGTACCAGGTGCAAGAACTCAACTTGAGAGTAGTATAGGACTCAGAGCTGATGGATTCAAGACAGTCTTGTTGAATGCTGTGTTTTAATGAGGTTTTATCATTTTAACCAGTTCACCACTACCTTCGATCCCATTTACATTGTTGACAGAAAATAAATTAAACTGAATAAATAGCACACTGAAGCTGCAAATGTGTCTAATATTACCTGTACAATTCGAGATTATACATGTTTCACTAAAGAGGGCTGTGACCTGACAAAACATAAAGATTAATCATCTAAGATAAGATTACTGACCTAAAAAGGTTTTGCTGCTCTTCCCAGAAGTTGGAAGCCACTATGAGCAGAAATTGAACATTTTCAACTTTGGTAAAGGTCATTTTGAGCAGGTTGCTGTACCTTTTAGATAGATGTTTAATGAGTGAAGTCCATTACTGTAACAACAATACATCTGAATCTTTTTTCTCATTTTGCAGACTGGTACAGGTGCAATGAGCACAAAGAAGGAGAAGGATGCTGATCACTGTGAGTAAACTGATACACTAAACACACAACAATTCTGAATTTTATTTTTTTTATTTTTAAGTGACCAGTGCTCACAGGAGACCACCAGTTCATTGCAGACTGCCAGGTTTGTAGATGCTGATCAGTTGACAGCTTCACCCGAGTGTAACATATGGCCTCAGGTCCGATGTTACGATAACAAATCGATTTAGGACCTTCTCCTAGGGTGCTAGCTTCAAAAACTATTTGGGGTCGAACTGTGTTTTCTATGAAATGGCAAAAAGACCATTTGTAAACAATATTTCTCACCACATTTTACCGTGAACTCTTAAATATGTTTTTCTCACATGCCTCAATGGTAAACAAAGAATAAAAATACGGGAAAATGATTGATGATTGAAGTACATTTGGGCTGCATTTTAACAACAGAAAAACTAAATGAAAATATTTGTTAACTTACACAAAAACTTGTGCAGGGTTAATTGTCATAAATAAGTAATAATAAAACTCCTTTAAGGTCAAATCTGTTCACACATGGATTTGATGAGTGAAGTTCATTACTGTAACAACAATACATCTATATATTATTTTCTCATTTTTTTTCAGACTGGTCCATGTGATATATATTATCATGGTACAGAGAATAAAGAAGGAGAACGATGCTGACCCCACTGTGAGTAAACTGTGATACAGTGCACATACAAACATTCTGCCTTTTTATTTTATCAACAAGTAGATGTTACTTTCATTTTCTTACTCTGGTTTTCCTGCAGCCCGGACATTTATATCCTTCTGACCCCAAGGAATACACTATAAGGCGCATTCACACCTTTTCCCACAAAGGTTCATGAGAATTTAGTTCATGAGAACTCTTTAGTTCTCATGAACTAAATACAGATTGCGTTCACACCGGAATACTTCCCTGGGGGTGGATTAGGCAAATGAAGCCGCTGACGTCACTTCTTCTTCTGCTTTGGGTTTACTGGCAGGCCGCAAACCACTTCACGGCGTATACTGCCACCCAAAGTCCCCGGCCGGAAGTCCCCGGAGTTGGGGACTGGTTTCAGTAGAAGCTGCTGGGACTCCCAGCAGCTTCTAAGCCTCTAAGTAAATCGCCAGAACGCCGACACCTCCTCATCTCCACCGCTCCCATGTTTTCTTTTGTGTTGCCATAAGTTAGTCTCTCTGCGTTTGTGCGCTGGGCTAATGCTAATGCTAATAATGCTAATGCGAGGATAATAAAATGGCAGCTTCACAAAACATTTGTGGGAGTTTTACGGGGCGTGGTTTGCATTCCGTCCAGCATAGGAACCTTTTTCACCCACGAAAGTCCCTGCTCTCTAGCAGCAAAAGGGGGTAAAAAAGGTTCTGATGAACTAATTTTAGTTTCGGCTCTTTTTGGTGTGAACGCGACATTTCGGAACTATATCGGAACTAAAGTGGGAAAAGTAATGCGGTGTGAACACGGCTATAGACTGTGTTCAACCCGGAACAGTGCTGCGGGCGATAAAAACATGTAACAAATATGATGAGCAGTTTTCAGATGAAAACCTTGTGATTCAGAAAAAGATAAGAAACTTGCTATTGCAACACATTTACCTTGTACTTGTATTAGGGAAGATGTGTGTCTGATCTTATCGCATGAAAAAGAAAAGATTGAAGAGACCCAAGGCCAAAATGAGGAACCAATACAGTCAAAGGAAATGTATTCTGTCTTCTGTATTGATAGAGAAGGTGGAGAAAACACTAGAACAAAGCCGTTTATCAGAAGCCATGCTTTCAGTAGGTTCAAGTATCTGTGTGTGTATGGGGAGAAGGGTAGGGAGATGACAGTGGACGACGCTCTGAAAAGAGATGGACGCTTCATTGATGATCTTGGCAACTTCACTCTGTCTGACAACAAGGATCCAATGAAAAGCACTGGATGTACACAACGTGTTGATAACCTGCATGGAAAATAATTCAAGTTGTGTCTTGAAAAGAAAGCACTGGACCTGAGGAAGGAAGACTTTGGAAAGATCCAACAGTCGTTCAGCGACGTTCACAGAGTCAGAGAGCTGATTAAACTGGGAGAGTCAGTTTGTGTGATTGTGACTCCATTTAAGACTGGAACAGGGTTTGTGTTGTTTGACAACTTCATCTTGACTAATGCACACCTGTTTGAAGATTGTGTTGAAGAAGGAAACAAAACGCTGAAGGATGGTACAAAGGTGTTTGTTCTCTTTAACTATGAAGAACAGCACACAAATTACCACTACTTTAATCTGGCTGACCTTAACATCCGCTACTGTCATGATGACCTTGATTATGCCATACTTCAGCTTAAGCCTGTCGGCAAGAAAAACAACCCAGACACAACTGAAGTCACAGAAAAGAAGGTGCCACCAGGGCTCCTGAAGAAGTTTGGTCCAATGCCTAAGAATGGTGACGCCTGTGTCATTGGTCACCCAGATGGAGGAGTAAAAAAACTGGATCCAACATCTATCGTTGAGATAGAAACCAGGGAGAAGGCTGTTGAGGATCAATTAGAGCAGGGGTGCCCAATACGTTGATCGCAAAGGTAGTGTGGGTAGATCGCATGGCATTGAATTTTTTTTTTTTTTAAAGTTAGCCTATCATCCATCCTTACTATGGCATTTGCCACTTGATTGACGTACAGGTAAGCCAGTCTGAGTTGTATTGTGCCATATGGGTTCATGCAGTTATGAGGGGGCCTCACCTCCTCATCTGAAGCTCAAATGCAGCGCACTATTATGCGCCGTTTAGTCCACTAGCACCCCCCTTTGCACACTTTGTGAGTAAACTGAGGGAGAATGGGGAGGAGGAGCTGTTGAAGAGAGTTCAGAAAGTAGCAAAGGGAAACTCAGTCCTAAAAAAGATACTCAACCCCGACTTATGACTAGGGTTGGGTACCGAGAACCGGTTCCGGTTCGGAACCGGTTCCAACATTTCGATTCCAACGGCATCATTTAGACATGTGAATTTCGGTTCCGCTTTTCGATGCCTGAGGAAATGTTTCTCGCCGCTCTCCGTAGCCTACTGTATGACTGCAGCGGGGCGGGAAATGTAGCGTTGTACCCATAGATATTATATATAAACCATGATATAAACACGTGTTTATATCATAGGTTTATATATATCTATAGTTGTACCCTATGGTTATACCTACACTTCCTACAGCGTAACCTGAGACCAGGGCCGGCCCGTCGCACTGGCGTTATAGATGTTCGCCTAGGGCACCAGATCTGTGGAGGCGCTGCGCTGACAGCTCTGGGAGGAAAAAAAAACGTTTTGACCGTTGGTGCTCATCCTAATTTTCGGCCTTGATGTAACAACATTCATAATTAAGTAAATGTAACACCCTTTTCATCCCGGTTACACTTTTCATTTGCCCTGTACGATGGGCGCTGCAAGTGATGAAAATGGGGGATGTTGGATTATCTGGCACCCGCAGCTCACAGCCAAAGTGCGAGTGAGCATGGGAGTGTAAGTTATCTCAGTAGGTCTCAAACGTTTTGATCACAATTTATGTAAACACATATTTCCAAGGCACTCCTTTATAATTATTGGGATAAAACAGGTTTGAAATCATTCCAATGTATTCTATAGGACAGTAAACCAGACATATCGTTTTAAACTGGAGAGATAAAAAAATATGCATAAATAAAATAGTAAAATAAGATATGAATGAACAACAAAAATAAAATACGTTACATGTATTTGTTATTGGCTATGGTAGGTTATTGGTTATGTTCACATACTTATTTAATTATTAAAATGTAAACCGATCTTTGTCATATGGGTGTTTAGAGTTGTACCCCCTAGATCTAGTCTCTAGTAATTCTGCTTAAAGTGCACCAGATTGAAGCATTTTACTTTAAAATGTTCAAACATTTCTTCCCGGTATGCCTGAGAAGGCAGATATGCTTGTTTTTCTCAACAAGAACTGTTTTTAAATGGGGAGGTTTCCTTTAAAAGTTGGACTGTTGTAGCTTCAGTGGTTCTCAGGTTACAGTTACATAGCAGTGAATATAAACAGACTGATTAATGTGAATATTACTGTAAACTAACCTGTGTAAAAGTTTCTCGAATAAATGTAATTTTTTTGGTGGAAGAAGCATGTATCATTTTTTTACCCTGCCCCTCAAAGAATCGGAATTGAGAACCGTTAAGAACCGGAATCGAAAAGTAGAATCGGAATCGGAATCAGAATCGTGGAAATTCAAACGATACCCAACCCTACTGATGACTCAATGGAGATTGATTAGAAAGATTAGATAATCAGGGGCTAAATACACAAGAATGGACAGCTTATATTCCCTTACTTTACTGTGTTTTTGTATGCACCATTGTACACCAAATTAACCTAATTGGCAATAAACCAAATTCTGATGTTGATTGTACTGCATACTCACCGTTTGTGGAATATATTAATGTATTTAATATGATTTTTTTGAGGCAGTGGACTGAATGTCATATTTTTGTTATATGTTTCATTTATTTTCTCTTGTAACATGTATTGGAAGCTCCTTAAGGGTGAGCTGATATTTGTTTTTATTTCAATGTCATATATTTCTGCAGTGGTAAATGTGTTTATTTTGTCCTGGCCTTCCCTACCAATGTATTCTGTTTGTGTTTTATTAAAAGCTGATCTCGTCTAAATCTGTTTCTTGCCACTGATTTGTTTTATTTAGGGTTATGTTATTCGATGTGTGTAGCCTCGCACCTTTTCCCTCTAAAAGAACCAAAAGACCAAAAATAGAGCAGAAAAACAGTTTCTTTGGCAAGTGGAGGTTGTTAAAGCTGGTGACGCTATGCAAATCAAGCAATTATACTTGAACCTGAAGTACTAACACTAATACGGCAATGTTGAAGTCCTAGAGCAGGAGACGGTGAATTTTTCCTACCATTTTCACCCTTCAGTCTTACTGTAACACGGGATAACATTTTCTTTCCATATGTGCTGAAATAACAACCCGGGACTTCTCTATGCTGCAGGTACATTTATGATTTATGGTACCAGCACTTTGCGTTTTCTCATCTGAAAAAGGTTATGATGTTACGGCTCGAATATGGTTGATCAATAAGTAACGGTCAGAGCAAAAACACACTATAATCAGTGTTTTAGAGTGTGTGATAATATACATAATACAGGGATAAACAGGCCAGCGTAATGTCACAACACCACAGTGTAGCAAGGACTCTGTTAGCCGAACAAGCACATCCTTTAAGAACAAACTGGTGTTCGTCTTCTGCATTAGCAGATTTACATGTTACATTGGAAATATATTGAGCACAGCACACAACACATTAAGCCTCTATAAGTCATTTGTCAACAAACTGGAGAATATGGCTGCATCCTGCGAATTGCTCAGAGAGATAGATGAAAATACAAAAGATTTATTACAGATTGTGCTGTCAAACAATGAGCCACATATATAAATGAAATACCCTGACAGCTGGCAAACAGGGATGATTGATAGAAAACATACTAAGGAAAAGCAGGCAAATAGATGGGCAGGTAAAAGATGCACACACAAAGAGTCATAAATAAACACACACATTCTCAAGATGTACGCCCCTGTCACTGGTGTTTGATATGGCTTTTCTACCGCCTCAATGAACAATGACTGGGCTGAGACAGTATTCCAGAAATATATAGATATCTATAGACCCTGTTCATCTTGCTCATCGTCTTCACACACAGTCCATCCATCTTCCCTGCTGAAGATTTTAGTAGGATTTCTCTGAGTCTATTAAAGTCTTATTTCAATGCGGTTTTGCACTGGAAAAAGTATATGGCGTTACCTCTCAACTTCCTTCATTTATCAAGATTACAAAGTACCTGTTCCAAAAAACTATTGTTATTCATTTATATTATTAATTAGAATACAATTGGAAAAAGGTTCTGAGGATAATTGAACCAAAACATAAATGTATGCAGTTTTTGAGACACCAAATGATGCATGAAGTTAACATAAGGATAGCGTCAAAAAAGAGTGAAAACTAAGCCTAGCGTTGCAGCTGTGCGTCATGTGATGCACACCAGCATGTCATGTATCCTCCTCAAAGGCTGCTTTTAATCGCAGCAAGACACTTTATGTGGGCCGGGTCCGGGACATAGAACAGGGATGAGTCTCAGCAGGTACAGTATCAGTACAGTGCCACCAATTCCGCCGGTAGTACTCCATGTTGAGATACAATTCAACTCTTTTCGTGGTGCAATGTAATGTGATGAAAGATCAGAATAGTATTGAGTATTGAGGAGAAAATAAGATTTGTGTAGGTTAGTTGGATTTTGTTTTATAAAAACCCTATTTGTATACATCACCACGCTTTTCAAGATCAGTTGACATGGTTCTCTTATTATGGTGGTAGATCAAAAGCAGAATATGAAAATAAAAACTGTGCTCTGAAAAATATATTATCTACAGAAACCATACACACGAAGCCAACTTTTGTCCTACAATAAATTGAATTTAGTTAGGGAACAGTTGGAAGTTTCAATTCAGAATTGGACCTGGGGCTATGGTTTATAGTCCTCATTACAGCATGACTTCTACTGGTTGACGTGAGTACCTACACGGTGGAGGCTGGATCTAAGGTTACACTATAACATGAACCTCCGGTGTGGTACACCTTAGTGAGGCTCATACTGTAAGTTGCAGGTGAACAGAAGCAGCTGGTGCTGTCACAGAGGAAGCACAGGAGTGTCTACAGACCCTCTCCAGAGCAACATTAGAGATAATGGTGACAAGAAGTGCAGTGCATTGGGACTCACATGTTCCAAATAAGGAGGTGTACAAATATTTCCAAAAAATGAATGATGAAAGACATTTACAAATTAAATGCAGCCCCTTATGTGGTGGTAATATAGTTCTACAAGAGCAGGCGTTGGAGAATTTAACAGGTGCTGCATATTTGTTTGTCACTGTCTCACTAAACATTTAATGTAAGATGTTTATCTAGTTTAATATGAGAGATGAAGAAAAATCGAGGTTGTTGCATGGTTTTCTTTGGTTTAAGCTCATTGGCTGCACTTTTCCCAATGGGATTTCCCAAGGTTCCAATCTGTTGCTAACATTGTGCGCTTTTGTGTGCTTTGGTTAACCAGATTACCAATTAGTGCATTTAGTTATGTGCATTTTAAGGCGTTCATTTTCTTTTCTTATTGTAAGAAAAGTGTGGAGAATAAAAGAGTGCAGGTGGCAGTCAACATTAATAGAGATGAGTAGCATACAGCTAACTTGTAAATGTGTGACATGCAGAAACAAAAGTAGGAAACACCGGACTCAATTAGTTGTTTGATCTTTACTGCAATGCAATATAATTTAACTAAAGGCATTAGCAGCTATTACACCTAGAGATAAAATGTACACAGTATAGTTAAAATGTTGTACAAATTGTGATGCAAGGCCGTTCTCAAAAGGAAAAATAATTGATGACGTGTGATAAGCTCTGACAGTAACAAGGCTAACTTGCTTTTGTGGGCTCGCACTGGGTGAATCACCGGAGGACTTGGTGTCAGTCAGGTGTCAGCTCTTGGCAAGAAGCTTCTAAAACAACAGGTGGATTTGGTCGTTACAGACGGCTCGTGTCTCCAAGAGGAGGGTTTTTGAAACTGGTGGTTGCCTGGGTGGAAAAGGTTGATGACAGTCCTTGCTGCCCTTTTCTTGCCGCAGGTGGCATTATACTCGTCAATGAAGAGCTGCTGACAGCTCAGGACCTGCTCAGCAGTGCAGACACTCTGCAGCTCTGCGTCAGGGCCAGAGGTGGCCTGCTGATTGATAGGACTTGAGGGTATCTCAGCCTCTCAACTAATTATGATTAATGTCTCGGTGTCTGCTGGATCACAAACTGCAGATGCGTGAAATTAACTTTAATTGCTCCGTTTGTACA